CAAACACAAGGTTTAAAAAAACTTCCAAAATCACCTTAGATAAATGGCAAAAGTCAACAGGCTTTTCAAAATCCAAAATACTGCCAAACAGGAGCTTTTGCATCCGTTTCGAAACTAAATCTTCCGCCATCGTCTTGTCTGTCTCACCCCACTCTTCTTGTCAGTCGACTCGACTCACCTGATCAATTAAATCTGACTCCTGCTGTTGATCTGTGATGCCACTGTCATTTGGTATGTAAAAATGATTATTATTACTATTACAAAAATCAAAACGACGGTGCCGCGGTGGGCAAATAACGTAACCGGTGTTGCAGCTTAGCAGCGAATATCACAGCAAGCCTAGTGTAAATGTGATTTATCGTCTGTCTCTCATCGCAGCTGAAAGTTCCCACCACGGATAAACCCGCAGTGACGGTGAATTTCAGGAAGCTGCTGCTGAATCGTTGTCAGAAAGAGTTTGAGAAGGACAAAGATGATGATGAAACGTTTGAGAAGAAGCAGAAAGAGCTGGATGCACTCACACTAACTCACACACACTCTCACACACACACACACTCACTCACTCAATATTTCACTTAAAAAATAAATTTAAAAAATCCCTTTTTTGATTATAAATCATTATAACTATTGTTAATATTACTAATAAAAGTATGAAACAAAAGAAATATTACTACTATAATATTTCATTGTAAAAAAAAAATTTTTTTAATCAAGAATTTAAGAAATTTAATTATACAGTGTATGGTAATATTACAATATTAATATTTATGGCTGGCTTAATGTTTTCATTTTTTTCAAATGTTAAATCGTTGGGGGAAAAACACTTCATTCTAACACATGCAGTGTATGTATTTAAGTAATCCACAGCCTTTGTGGTTTGATAATCAGCAACGTCAAATAACATGACATACTGTCACGTTTGATTGCCGTATTATGATTTGTAATTGTGATTTATATCAGGAAGATAGCATGCGAGTATGTATATATTTACATGGTTCAAAGGCATGTATGACGTCACTTCCTGTCTCTGCCCCTTCAGGAAGAGGAGAAGCAGAGGTTGAAGGAGGAGCTCGAGGACGCCAAAGACAAAGCCCGGCGACGGTCGCTAGGCAACATCAAGTTCATCGGCGAGCTGTTCAAGCTGAAGATGCTGACGGAGACCATCATGCACGACTGCATCGTAAAGCTGCTGAAGAACCACGACGAGGAGAGTCTGGAGTGTCTCTGCCGCCTGCTCTCCACCATCGGGAAAGACCTGGACTTCGAGAAGGCCAAGGTGAAACTCGTGCATTACACAACATCTCATGCAGCAACAATAGCAGGAGTGTGCTATATTATTGTGTATTCTGTTGCTATAATATTTTATTAACATTAATATATTTCTATATAATATTTCAATGTATATATTAAATTATAGATTATATTATTTTGTGTAATATATTATCAGTACAATTATTTTAATTATATAAATGAATATATGTATATATAATTGAGCATGTATATAAACAAATTGT